TGCCGTGTCGTTCGCCTTCAACAGGCATAAAATGACGTCGCAACGCAGTTCGTGCGAGAGCCGGGGGCTTATGGGACCCCTGGTCTAGCCATCAGGTTCAAATTTTGATTAAGTAGCTAATAATTCATTCATGCGTAATTTTCTTCTCACCTGTAATGACCTTCTTTTGTCAAGCAATCATTCATCCCACATAGTTGTGCAGTCACACAGTCTTAGTCTCACTTCCATGTGAAAACTAAAAATGTATATTTTCTCTTTTGTTTTGGGGGGGGGGGGGGCAGCACCTTTTGACAGCCATGATGTATCCCCTCTGAGTTACACGCAAAGTGCTTCTTGTGTGCAGAAACCCCAGTGCATGAGTGCACCTTTACACACCAAAAAAAATAAGACAAAGTTCCCCCCAGTATAGCCTGAACAGACTGTTGGAGCAAGTGCCGTCAGTGAGCACCTATGAAGGCCGGAACAGCACACGAGGGGATGGGTGGCCAGCACCACGCCCGGCCGCCTTTGTCTCCCTCGTGACAATGTTTCTACACTTCACACTGGGTCCTCAATTGAGGCTGAGTCGACCTGGCGGAGGCCCATGACCGGTTCTGATTATCGTCGGTGTTGGCCGTGAGCGGGAACCGAACTCAGGTCGCCGGGTCCGCTACGCTACCGCTCCCCACTAACACTCACACCGCAGCACGGCATACAACTCGCTCACACCATCCGTTCGCTGGACCCTGTTTTCCCAGTGTAATCCCGTGCAGAAGCCACTTCAGTAACTTGTGCGATTATATAAAAAAGCATTACTATTGGAACCTCATTTGCCAGTAAAAAATATGATAATTGGTTTTTTACCCTTCTATCTGGCAACAAAACTGACACCTTTTTTACAAGGAGTCATTTTTGCATAGACCACAATACCCGCAGTCATAATGCAAACAAAAAACATAACTCTGATCATTTATGCACTGTCCTTGACAGTACATACGTAACTCTGATAATGCATAATGCATACATTATCAGAGTTATGTTTTTTGTTTGCATTATGACTGCAGGTATTGTGGTCTATGCAAACATGACTCCTTGTAAAAAAGGTGTCAGTTTTGTTGCCAGATAGAAGGGTAAAAAACCAATTATCAAGCATTACTATGTCAAATACCATCTGCTTACATTGAAATGCTTTCTCCTTCTAAGCCAACACTGCCCTTATCGCAAGGGGTAGGCTGCTGAATTTATATATCCACCAAGCACATTGAAATGAATACCCATTGATTTACAAGTCCCCTTTGACGATCTACTGCTGAATGAAGAAGGCTTCGTCCTGCTGTGTTGGTCGTGCGTCGTGGTTTGACCATGCTTCACCTTGCCGGACAATGTGGGGGGCGGGGGGGAGTCAAAACTGGCACTGACATCACTCGAGGCCAATGTTTGCTATGACGGGGTAAGTTAACATCAGGCTGCCGGGTTCGTAATGCAACGCGCTAAGCGCTGTGACCACCGCTCCTCTCGCGTTGGAATACGTTTAAATAACCCCAAAAAAATAGTAATGGTTAAATGAAAATGTAAATGTTAATTCGGTAAAACGTATCAAAATGCATACCCTTTATGAAATATACTGTGTAATCTTGTCACAAAGTAAGTGATGTCACTAAATAAAATACCTATTGAGTACCTATTATATTATCTCAAACCGCAGCAACCATTTGATAGACTCTAGCCGCAAGCCATCCGTTTTCCAGCCTTCAAATTCTCTCTCTCTGGTTCCTGGCAACAAAACAGGTGTGTTAAGATGTTAAAACACCAACCTGAAACCTTTTACAAGGAATCATGTCTGCATTAACCACAATACTTGTGGTCAGAATGCAAACAAAAACACACTCTGATAATATATACATTGTCTTTGAAACTGATTGAATTTTGGCCACAAGTATTGTGGTTAATGCAGAAATGATTCAATTTCGATTTAAAGCTTTCGTTACTGCAGGGATTCATCTTCTTGGTTCTTTTCGTAAAGTCACGTAAAATGGAAATAATAAAATAAAATAAACATAATAAAATAATTCTCACGACGTTTCGGCCACAACACAAGCAGCCGTCCTCAGGTGGAGAGCAGGTCTGTCGACAAGACAGAGTCTTTTATTATTTCCATTCTACGTGACTTTACCGAAAGAACCAAGAAGACAGAAATGATTCCTTGTAAAAGGTTTCAGTTTGGTGTTTTAACAACTTAACACCTGTTTTCTTGCCGGATAAAAGGGAAAAAACTTATTCTCATATTTTGGTACTGGCAAAGGAGGTCCCATGATGTAGATACATTTCACATTCACCATATATACCCCCCTCCCAACACTTCCCCAAGTCGAGGTACGGCAGTGTTACCGAGGTGTCAGCAGAAACCAAAATGCTCCGACCACGAATTATTGCGCGCGAACACATGCAGGCCAAATGTTTGGGAAAGATCTAAATGTTCCTTGTGGCTGCATTTTTGGCTCAGAGGGAATGATTCGCGATGCACTTCAGTTCACTGGGAGGGCCCCACACAGAGTCAATCCCGTGCCTTGTTCTTCATAGATGGACTATCCCTCCCCACTCCCAGAGCACGCAGAGTGCCAGACATGAACCACAAGGGCTATTTGTGAGCCCCCCACCCCCACTTGGGGCGACATTGCTGTTCGCTGAATTTAATAAAAACAAAAGAAATGTCTAATCGTTTGGGGTTGCTGAATATTGGATGGAAAAGTGGTGGTTGTCCAAAGAGCCTCATCATCATCACCATCATCACCACCACCATGCTGAACAAGTAATCACGTGCTTCGTGAACAGATCTGACGTGTTCTCAGTGCTTGGTGCTGTTAGTGTCATTTTTATAATGTGCATTTTGCACACTACGTTATCGCGAGTGCTGTAGCGTGGTTTCAGTGTATTTATCTGCGTTATCATATGATAGCAGAGCAGGGAATTACAGGGCTGCGCCTTTAACTCTGTTTTATACGAGTATAGCAAGGTGACTTGAATCTTGATTTGAAGCTTTCGTGACTGCAGGAATCCCCATACTCTTTGGTTCTTTCGGTAAAATCACGTAGGTAGAAAAATAAAACTAAATAAAAATAATATATCACGACATTTCGACGGCACTGTCGCCCCAAATAATCCAGCAGTGAAACTGCTGAACCCGCGAGAGAGAGCTGGTTCAGCATGTCCACTTCTGGATTATTTTTTCCACCCGAGGACGACCGCTTATGTTGCGATCGAAACGTGGTAATGTATTATTTTTTATTTAGTTTTCTTTTTCTACCCACGTGACTTTACCGAAAGAACCAAAGAGTATGGTGACTTTAATAGCAACGGTGAGTTCACACAAGGTGAAGCAAGCCATGCACACACACCTGTTATAAAAAAAAAACACAGTGCATGCATACTTATACTTGAATTACAATATGTATTATTCCGCAGCTCTGCTTAGCACGGTTGGCTCCGTAAGGTGCGAAAGAAGTTCTACATACATACTCCTATTAGAGTTAGCTAGGCGGGTAGTACAGTGGGCAAAGAGCCTATCATTGGATCATGGCGTTATCTTAAATCCTCGTTCGGGGTCGAGTCTGGCTTTGCTAATGAGACAGAGTTGTTCGATATATTTAAGTCTGTCTTTGAAAAAAACTCACCTCTTTAAATTGGCCTTTACTCCCATCTAGTTCGAGCCGTTTACCCTGATTCTGTTGATTTCCCGCTTTCCAGACATGGCGCGTTTGGCTCTGCAGAATGTAGATTACAATTATTATTGTGGTCGCATTAGAGTTGCTTCAATAAGTTACCACATTTTGACACTTCAAAAGCGGTTTGGTTTTTTTATTGAGAATGATCCATGCCATCAATGCACATGGGCACCGCTCAAAACCCTTTTGTGATGAGTACCTTTTAATACTTTGGGCGAAGCCACTGGCAGTTGTGCTATGAATAGTAGACTGTTCCCCACCATAGGAATGTGGAATTCCACCACTGGTTCAGGACCATCAACAAAGATGAGTATCGCCCAAAAGTCATTTTTAAAAAGGAGACCACCTTGACATACACTTATCGTTGGCACATACATACATACACTCTCGTTCTTCTAATGATTAAACTCGAGCCTTAAAAGTCTCCCTTATTTTTTGTTAATGAGCTGCCCGATGATAACTTCACTACTGTTTAGAGCAGTACAGGCCGGGTTGCAAGTGCATCATGTCCAGGCAAAATGTGTTTATGAACTTCAGTCTGTGTCCTTGACCTCATTCCATTCCTCTCTTAAAACTCACCTCTTCTCTATCGCCCATTCTCTTCCTCTTCCCTCCCCTCGTCCCTCCACGACTTCCTGTCCCTCCCCGACCCTTCCGTGATCCCTGAGTACCCGCGATGCTGTCACTCATTGCTAAATCCTTGCACGCTCCTGTCATCGCAATCGCTCTTTTGTCAACGTTTCACTTTAATCAGGTCAGGCGCCGTGAGTGAATGGCGCTGGATAAATATAAAACAAGATAAGACGGTGTGGGGAGCAGGAATGTAGTGTTTATAATCTAGCACTACGAACCCGCTCGCCTGAGTTCGATTCCCACTCAGGGCCAACATCTGAACCATCCGCACCGCCCCCCTTGACGCTGCGCGCTGCTGTAACAACCCTTGCGTTGCCGGCAGTCCGAGTGAGGCTACACGGGGAACATACTCTCAGTTCTTTCGGTAACGTCACGTAGGTAAAAAATGAAATTAAAATTAATAAAAAATAAAACAATAAAAATCACGATGTTTCGGAGGCAACACAAGTCTCCGTCATCAGGTGGGACCGTCACAGCTGATGACGGAGACTTGTGTTGCCTCCGAAACGTCGTGATTTTTATTGTTTTATTTTTATTAATTTTTATTTCATTTTTTACCTACGTGACTTTACCAAAAGAACTGAGAGTATGGATCCTTGCAGTCACGAAAGCTTCAAATCTAGAATAAATACACGGGGAACCTTTGTCTTCGCGTGCGAACTTCAGGCTGCGAGTGCGCCGCCAAGCCGTCCCCCTCGCTCGTGCGCTGGGACAAGCTCTTCATCATGCTCGAGAAGTCTCAGAAGAGGGAGGCCATGATGCTTGAGGCTATGGAGAACATGATCCGCAGCGAGATGCAGAACGTGCAAGCGGTGATGGAGGAGTCCAAGCACGAAACGGCGCAGCGTCTCGACAGGACCCTGAGAGACGCCTCGCGCGAGTTCCTGAGCCACATCGACATCAAGTTGCAGGTATTGCAATGTGCGTGTGGGGGGGGGGGGGCTGTCGTGGGGAGCAGTGGCGCAGCAGTTAGCGCGCTCGCGCTACAAACCCGGCTGCCCCCGTTCAGTGATAACGGTAACATTCCGTGCTCGGCTATACTTCGACCATAGTTTTTGTAATCAAGCACATCCTAGGCATCACGTAAAGTAAACATCACGTTCACGTGACAGCCACCTGCAGGCCAAAGAGGATTGCCTGTAATGCAGTACAGCAAGTAGGTTGTGAGCCTGGCTACTCTGGGTCTACCTCCCTGTTGTAAAAAAAAATACTCCGACGGGAAATGACAAAACTGGACCCTCCCGAAAAAGTCTTAGAGTTCCGATGAGGCTTTCCGAGGTAAATATAGAATGCTATTATAGTTATTATTTAAATCGGTGACCAGGCTGAGACTCGACAAGAACCTAATCTCAGGCGGCTACGTGGGACTTGGACCTCGGTATTTGGTGCCGGTTTGCTTTGTAATACGACCCGGGCACTAGGAAACCACAGCATCACAGCTACCCCGCGTGTATTGCATTTCCAGTCAATGTTAGTTAAACACAAGGCGTACTTATGTGGTTAAGCGGTGGGTAATTTCCACCACGGAATTCTGAGCCAGCTCCTGCATTCGAGTAACCGTGTCGGCCACAGGAATTTTAAAAAGGCTTGCCGTGTGCGTTGGGTTTTCCACTCTCAGATCATTGACTCATTAATTTACTTTATAAAATACTCAAGTCAACAAAGCCGATGTGTGTCACCTTACAACCGAGCAGCGGGGGTGGTACGCATCTCCTTCTGAGAGAGGGATTGAACCCAGTCGTGGAAATGTTAAATTCCTACTCCTACTGGCTCAGGACTTGTTCAAATAAGAACCAATTAGTGAGATGCAACAGACGCACCAGCCTAACGAGGCCTCATACTTTATCAACTTTGGAGAGACAATGGGCTGATTCAACCTCGGGGAAAAAATTTGAACCCATAGAATTTCTGCCACAGCATCAGATAACTAAATATGTTGCCTTTCGTTAATCAGCCTCTGGTGGCTGGAACCTGCAATGATCTGGGCTCTGTTCTCAATCACGTTAAGCATAAGAGAAGCCAGAGGTCTTTCCACGGTGGGGAGAGCCCACGACAGCCAGGTCCATGATCCAATGCCCCGGGCCCTGCTTGCATCTTACAACGACAGCCTCCTGCATTGGCAGCCGCTGTTGTATGCATGTTGAACTTCTTTCGCACCGTACGCAGCCGATCGTGCTAATCAGAGGTGCGGGAGAAGGACAACAAACTAAACACTAAAAGCAGTTTTAAAGAAATGAGTTTAGTTGGTGTGGAGCAGCCACAAACGTCACGTAATCGAGGGAAAGAGTGAGCCGCCCCATTCCGTTCCTGACGAAGCTCCCCAGCGTGTGGGAGCAAAACGTCGGACTCCGCCGCCCCCGAACGACAGCACGCAGTGCAACCCGAGAGCGCCGCATCGGAGAGCCGCGCGGCGCCAACCGCACAAAATCCCACGTCAATTATTCCCGAGTTGAAACCGCAAACCGAAACGTAACGCCCGCACACGATCACCAGGAACGGGTGGGGGTGGTGTGGACGTGAATGGTTCCGACGTGCCCCCCCCCTCCCCCACCACCCCGGGGCCTAACGTTTGTCTCCAACTGGACAGAGCGAGACGAACGGCAAGTTTGACAAGATCGAGCGCCTGCTGGGCAAGCTGGTGACCGACGTGCAGGCAATCTCCCTGGAGCTGCTGCGCATCACGCAGGAGTCTTCCACCGAGAGCCCCGCCGCCCACGACCCGCCGCGCATCCCTCCGCCCAGCCACATCGCCCAGACGCTCGGCGTCAACAACCTCGCGCTGTCCGAAGAGCGGGTGATGTGGAGCCTGGCGCTCTTTCCTCCTCCAGGTGAGCGCGCCCGCCCCAAACCCACTTCCCGTGATCCGTGCGACAGGTGCCTCCGTCTTGCTCGCGACCAGGCGAGGAAATCTGCCAAAGCCGCGTTGGTCTTCTGTCGAGAGTGGCCAGCGGGCAGGACCGCGGCGGGCATTGTGTATTGTTTGTCGGTTCGATAGCCGCAGTGGCACCTCTCTGCGAGGCTGTGTCACTGCCGCGAAGCTGGGTTCGAACCGATTTGATCGCCACGTCCCTTCGTATCCGTAGACGCCCACGTCTCCGTCACACGAAATCAACGAACCTTTCCCCCCGCCGCACAGCTCCGTCGCGCGGACGGCGCCACCCTAACGGCGAGGTGCTTCTCCCCACCGCCCGTCGCGACGTTGTGCGTGCGCGAGCAGGCTGCTTCATGACGCTGCACTTCCCCATGCGCTCGCGCACCATCGCCGTGGGCGTGGACCCCGGGGTGCGCGCGGAGCTGCGTGCCGTCACCCTCTGCCTGTGGGCGCGCCCCTCGGAGCCCCTCTCCAAGACGGTGCTGGCGAGCTACGGCGACAAGAGCTCCCCGCGCCTCCTGCAGCTCTACCTGAGCGGCGACCGCGCCGTCTTCTCCGTGGCGGGCGACGACGCGGCGGAGGGGGGCGGCCGCGCCGAGGCGGCCGGCGCGGTCAACCGCGACGCGTGGGCGCACTACTGCGGCGCCTGGGAGTCCGAGTCGGGCGACCTCACGCTGTGGGTGAACGGGCAGCTGACGGCGCACAACGGCTCGCCCGTCGCGCGGGGCTTCGTCGTGCCGCCGGGCGGCGTCCTGCAGCTGGGCCAGGAGAAGAACGGCTGCTGCGCGGGCGGCGGCTTCGACCCCGAGCTGGCGTTCGCCGGCGCCCTCGCCGGCTTCAACGTGTGGGACCACGTGCTCCCGTCGGAGGAGATCGCCAAGCTCGCCGGAGGTCGGGGTGGCTGCCGGGCGCAGGGCAACGTGGTGGCGTGGGGCGTCTCGGAGCTGCACCCCGTGGGGGGCGCAGTCTTCAACCTCTACTGAGGGCGGGCGCAGGCCGGAGGGCGATGCCGTGGCGGAGAGATCCGCGGGCCCGCGACGCGTTTTGTCGTTTTCTCGTTTGTCTGTCTGTGAGATGGCAAGGAATTGTCGTCCCCGCCCCCCTTATTCGCCTGTAAGTTAGTAAATGAATAGATGTTGCCCAATGTCGCCGGTTGCTCTGCCGGAGAAGTTGCGGATGTTGAAGCAATTGCCTTGTTGAAAAAAAGAGGGATATTGTCAAAATGATGAGGCCGAGTGGCTGGGATGGGTGTAGGGTGGAGGGGGCGGAGTGCGTAATGCCCGTTTAGGAGACACAGAGCCAGCGCTGCTAAGTACCTGGGTTTGAATCCGGCCACCCGCCTGTGATTAAATGAAATTCATATATGCAACGAGCCAATAAGCAATGGACTGTTAAAGCAAACAAACAAAAACACGCAATTGTTCAAAGTTCGTTTTTTGTTTTACTTAATTAACAAATGATATCTCTCGCAGAGTAATGTCTTTCTTAGTTTGAGTGTCAAATATGAAACAATGTTCACAGGGCGTGGAGCAGCGCCAGGCGGTGTGATGAGAGAGGCCTGTCGAGGTGGCTGCAGAAGTAGTAGTTCTGCGAGGGCAACTTCTGGGGGCCCGTTCCCTGAACAATGTGACGCTCTCTTGAGCAAACGAAGTCCAGAAGGAAGTGTCTTTGTCTGGTGATGATAATGATGACGCCAATGTGGGAGTTGTAATCATTATATTTGGATGGAAGCAAATGGAAAAGAATAAATAAGCATCCCTTTCATACTGTTAATTCCAGGTTTTGGCAGTTAATAGTGTCACTTTTTTTCAGATTTATGTAATGGATTAATTAAATATTATTTTCGAGGGAATATTTATATATATAACTAATGTTGACCTTGCTTTTACTTCAAGCACATGGCAAATATATATTCAACAGCAAAAAATAACAAAAACGAATAACGACACGGAGGCTTTTGGGTCCGTAATAGATTTGTGTTTCGGGTCAGAACACCGCGCGAGTACAATGTGTGTCGTACACCCTCCTCCACCCGACAGCATGACTGGTGCCGCTGAAGCAGTAATACATCGGCACATTTGTTCACGTGCCAACTTTAGTTTACCCTTTTCCGTTCCGAGACGTCTGCAAGTTGCAGGACGTTTGGCCCATTCCCCTCTGAATCTCGGAGCCAGCAAGCGGCTCAGCGTTGATTTTATTTCGAGAGGCGTAGCGCCGTTGTTGTTAAAGACGCTGAATTCGCCGCAGAGAACCGCAGAGACACGCCGGCACTCTGCGATAGCTGGCGCCAAACTGTGCCACACACCCTCACGGGAGCCTCGGTACCAATACAGTTGTTTAGTTTTTCTTCCGGTTTCGTTTTGATGATGTACACATGTACGTCATTGGAACGGAATCGGAAGAGAAAATTATTATGCAAACGTACATCGTCAGAACGGGAAAGGTTGAATTGTTTGGTTTGGATGGAGGTGGTTTACAACACACATTTAACTCATGCAATCTGACCCAAAAAATAATCAATTATGAATCTAATTGTACAGATGTTTATGAATTATAAAGCAGACCTAAAAATGAGACCACACTTGACTATTATGTGGGGGTTTTGTGGAAATGTTTCTCATCCTAAAACAAACCCTTTAACAAGTAAACCCGTAAAAACTAAGTTTTTCACTCTAAATCCTTTATATGCGTGGCGGCTAGAGTCCTCTCGTCCTCTGGCTTGAGATGGCTGCAATCTATGGGTCAGATGATTGTCTGCCAGTATTAAGCAATTGGTAATTAAATATTTAATTTGTTTTCCCTAAACAGTGTAAAATTTTGGAAAAAAATTTTCACGAACATTAATTGTCACACACAACGAGTCTGTGTGGAAATGTCAGCTCGATTGGATCACAGGAAGTGGGTTAAAAAACGACTAAAAGATTTGCACGGTCGTAAGCAAGCAAGCACGCAAGCAAGCACGCGAACTTAATATAAAGGATTAAAAAATAAGTCCATATTTCCTGTCTTAATATTTTGTATCCAATATTTGTTTTTATCTCTTTCGTTTTAAATTGAAATATTTGCTCAACTTCTTTCAAAATATAATACGGTACTTTTACCAACCTCCCTTTCGCTGTAATTAATAAAGAAAAAAGTGGATGCAAAGGAGACTTTGGATTTTACGTCTATACATTGTAAGTGTATATTTTCAACGGTAACATATTGTAGAGGCCATGATGTCATAAATAAGGTTCTGCAATGGAAAGTATACATCTATATGCATGACTACATGACTTGTTTCTATAAACTAGGAATTTTACTTCGAAATAATATGATTAAAGCCACAGGTGTGTACATGAGAGATGGCTGAAAAAAATTTATTTTATTAAAGGAGTTGTACTTTGTATCTTTAACGAAAATCCAGAAGCCCAATTTGACAGATAATGAATGTCTGGAACAAAGTATATGACTGTTCGTTAAAGCAATTTATTTGTAAAATGTTTCTTTTATAATTTACATTGATATATGCTTTAACAGCCAAAAGTATGTTTGTAAACTGAAAAAACACAGCAATTAGCAGAAACACTTCCAAAGTAATATATAGCCGTAACGAGCTAAATTCAAACGGCCATGGCATCGGCATTTAATGCACTGAAAGCAAACTTATTTACTATTCTTATAACTTCTATTTTATCTTTCTGACTTTATGTAATTTTAACAGAAGAAAGGGACGTGAAAATATATTTTTGTTCAATTAAAAAAAACATTGTAAGACTAAAAAACGCTGCCTCCTATCGCCATGGTGTTATTTTTAGAGGGAAGGCCTCGCCTGATTAATTACGGCTGAACACACACGTTGATTATTTCTCAAGGGAACCGCAAGCATTCATTTAAGCCCATGAAGTTACGTAATTCACTAACACTTACATTGAAATTCTTGGTTCTTTCGGTAAAGTCACGTAGAATGGAAATAATAAAATAATAAAAATAAAACATAATTAAATAATTCTCACGACGTTTCCGCCACAACGCAAGCAGCAGTCTTCTCGACAGACCTGTTCTCAACCTGAGGACGGCTGCTTGCGTTGTGGCCGAAACGTCGTGAGAATTATTTAATTATGTTTTATTTTTATTATTTTGTTATTTCCATTCTACGTGACTTTACCGAAAGAACCAAGAAGATGAATCCCTGCAGTCACGAAAGCTTTAAATCGAAACTTACATTGAAATTCTGAGAATAGAATGAGCACCTCACGGTGTGTTCGATTCAAACACCAATTATATATGTAAAACAATCAAGACACCCAGAGAGACCATGAGCAAACATTATCATTTTTGCTTTCGATACCTATGTGACTCTAGCAAGAAGAGATGATTTAGGCCTTCATACAGGCACATAAATGTCTACTTTAAAAATACTACTTTTTGAGACCACTTCTTAGGAGAATGCCAATGCTTTAATCATGTCCTACAGATTGCTAGCTAACAAGTTATCGAAGACGGCGGTGAGTGTTGCATAGGTTCAGCCAGCTTATCGAACTCAACGTCAAGTAAACATTTCCATCAGGGTGACATTAAACACGGTGCTGACTTAGCAATCACATACCAAGTACACTCCTGAATGCCGACGTATCACCAGACGAGCTACGAAGACAAAAACTGCCTCTTTCTAACTTACATTGGCTGTTGGTGAGCACTTGCTGTTGGTGAGCACGTAATTAAGAGGGTGATGTGGCCAGTAACCACAGCCGGGCCACCTTTGTCTCCCCAGTGATGTTTATTTTTTGCCAGGTACTCACGATAATAAAGTGGACACCTAAATGCAGGCACACGAGCATAAATGGCACACACGCACACACTCAAATGTGTATGCTCACGAAAGCATTCAACTGCATGAGTACGTACGTGGTTCACGTGTGAAACAAGTCCCACTTATCAGTCCTCCCTACTCTACTTGGCACCTCTGATTAGCACGGGTGGCTACGTACGGTGCAAAAGAAATTCAACGTACGAACAACATACATTAGCAACAGTCCCACACATTGGTGACAGTGCCGCTCATTACGGTATCAACAACATAACTGTCTTTGTTCGTCTAACTTAACCCGATATAAATGCAAAAATGTATGACAATATAAACAATTGTGTTTTTTAAAAAGACTATATTTTAAAGCAGAAGGTGTTAAAGCGGACATTTTCGACACTCGGGAGTTATAATTCCTGAGAGAGAAGTTATTCTTGTATATTTTTCTTTTCCGCGTACATTTTTTTTCAACTCGATGTTGATCCCTTCCGCGATGTGGCGTGTTCATACAAGTGACGCTGTGTTGGGGGTGAATGCGAAAATCGTTCGGTATGGTGTCAGTAATACACGTGTCACCTGCAATCATACCTCTGCTCAGCTGCTTTCTTCGCCTGAATACATTGCTTTAGTACAGAGGCTAAGGTGCGTTACGTTTTAACAATTATAAAATATGTAGACATCTTTCTAAGTGGTATTCAATTGCAAAAGCCCACTCCGTGCTTTGCAAGTATTTACTGTTTTTAAACTTAACATGTTATGGTTGTTGTTGTTGTTCATCGTAGGGTTGGATACGAGTTACAATTGTTAGTCTTGCATGGTGATTTGTTTTAGTCACCGAGGTATAGACCTCTTTGGAATGTATTGTTTGAGGAAATGTCCGTACCTAATGCACACTCTGTGTCCCATAGCTTTATTAAATTAAGTAGAATGAATCACCCGTGTTTGTGTGTTATCTGTGTGTGCTCATGTGCACCGCGCAAACAACGGAAATGAAATTGCTGAAGCAACACGTCTTTGTGAATGGATGGCCATGAATAGATGCCATATGTGGCACATTAGGAATGGATCACTCTTTTAAGTATGTCCTTGTGCAGCAAGGGAGTAGAGTGTGGTTCTGTGAAGGTCCTGATGTGCTGTGCAGTGCATCAATGCAAGTGTGTACAGCAGCATGTAATGTCTGAGTCGGGCCTGTAGGTGGCTGGCAGGGTTAATGAATAACCGCACGTGTAAACCAGCCACGTGGTTAATGGCGTCTCGGAAGATTTGCTGCGTGTAACACGCGCTGTTGCATTTTACAGAGTGACGGTGCTGTTCTTCCCAAGATTCATATGAACCACAATAAATAAATGTGCTTGCCCTCGATTTGGAGCACCTGCCCACGTCCTTCATCTCGAGTGTGCAACACATATACACAAAATCCAATTATCCGTCTTTGCTTTATAGTCATATATATTCTCTTCTTCAGCAGCATCATCATCATCATCCTCATAATTTGCTTATTAGGCCTAGAGTAAAACATCCGTACGAATCCAAGTGTCTCAGCTAGTATGAGGCTCAGGCATAAAAAATTATATTGGTAGGAACCTCCTGGTTCCACTAGCCCACAGGGGATTATTGTGTCCGTCCGTCCGTCGTGCATTCAAAAATGGGAGGGATGGGCTGGGTGGAGAGGGGAGGGTGGGGAGGGGCTGGGTGGGGAGGGAGGGGCTGGGTGGGGATTGGAGGGTGGGGAGGGGCTGGGTGGGGATTGGAGGGTGGGGAGGGGCTGGGTGGGGAGGGTGGGGAGGGGCTGGGTGCGGAATACACCACGCCGCTGTTGACCCTGGCCATTGACCGAACAACCCAACGTTCCTACCAGCTCCCTCCGCAGGAATGTTTTCACGATCGGAAGGACCGTGTCTGCTCAATTCCGTGTGCAACTCCAATTGGTTTGAGCAAAATGCTGTAGAAGTGTGTAAATTAATACTTGATTCACCCGGAAGACAAGTCTAACACCCAAAAAAAGAGATAAGTAAATGCGTATAGATGGCAGATATACAGATATGGGAGTGGAGCGGTGGCGCAGTGGTTAGCACGCTCGCACAATGAGTCCAAAAATCCCACCTTACTTCCCAGCCACGCCTAACGCTGGTGTCGAGTGATATGCTCCTGATCCATATTTCATGGCTGGTGAGGTGCACTGATTATAAGATGTTCCCTATTTAGGCACATTTGTATGTTTATTAAATGCAATTATCCAATTTATTCTATCATTTAGATTTTGATCCTGGTCCTGGTCCCACATGTTTGCTCCCTCCCCCTGCCCCCCCATGACCAACGTGGTGAGGTTTGGTCAAAACAAGCAAAAACAGCATGGGGAGGCCTTTATCCAACAGTGGCTTAACAGAGGGTTGTAAGTCATGGCTCATTGTTTAATGTCAAGAAAATAGCCGAACACTTGGGAATAGGGAATTCCACTGCTGTTTCATGGATGATGTAATGCCGCAGTGGTCAGCACACTGGCCTTGCAAGTAACCCGGTGGATCTCCCTCCCAGCAAGGTAGTTGAATCAATGGTGCAAGTTTCTAAAATACCCCAAGCCTCCTCCGTCCATCCGATGGTATAAATACGATCGACCACGTTTAGTCGATCAACATGACCAATGTTGTGGGGTGTAGTGTGTGTACTCCCACATTTGCCAAGACATCTGGCCATCATGGCAGAGTAAGGCCAAAGTGATCTCGAGAGCCCCACTAAAATACAGACTTTTCCGGTAACAGTGTCGTACGCGGGCAATTGCAGGGGCTGTGGCTTTACCTCGCTGCTGTCTCAGCTCAGGGGGACCTGGAGACGTTTGAAACTAAAAACTGTTTAAACTATAAATAAGCTCTATAGCTCTTTTTCAGAAGCGACCTGGCCACAAATGATAGCGCAACGAAGTGGCTTATCACGTGGAAATGTATAGCAGTCAAATACTCTAAACGCACGTTGATAAGAAATGTGGAGGGAAAAAAACTGGAGGACCCGGAGAAAAAAAATCCGCACGACCACGAGGTGAGTGAGAGAGAGAGACACGCAAACTCCCAAATATAACAGCAGGCTTCATACTCTTAGTTCAGGGGTCGGCAACCTACGGCTCCGGAGCCGCATGCGGCTCTTTACGGGCTGCTTCTTGACGATATGTACGTGAGTACAGTATGTACTCAGATGCATTGCGGCTCTTGAAATACTGAATTTTGTACCGAATTGGAAAGAAATGGCTCTTCTTGTTATTTTGGTTGCCGACGCCTGTCTTAGTTCTTTCGGTAAAGTCACGTAGGTAAAAAATGAAACTAAAATTAATAAAAAATAAAAACAATAAAATCACGACGTTTCGGAGGCAACACAAGCTTCCGTCTTCAAGTGAAACTGTCACACTTGATACAGATTTTTTGCTGTGACAGTTTCACCTGAAGACGGAAGCTTGTGTTGCCTCCGAAACGTCGTGATTTTATTGTTTTTATTTTTTATTAATTTTAATTTCATTTTTTACCTACGTGACTTTACCGAAAGAACTAAGAGTATGAATCCTTGCAGCCACGACAGCTTCAAATCTAGAAATAACAGCAGGCATCAGGGTCGAGATCGAACCCACGGCCTCCTTGCACACCGGGGGTTGGTCAACGTCCCCGTGGCCACCGTGGCGCGGTACCTGCGATGACGCTGTCAGCCACCGCCTCCACGTGCTGGCCCAGGAGGGGGGCCTGCCCCATGGCGGCCAGGGCGATCACGCTGGACATGCTCCTCGACACCTCCGCGTCGCCCCTCCGCAGGAACCTCACCGCCACCGGCACGGCCACGCGCATCATGGCCGGACGCCCGTAGTTCTACGCGCGAGATATCGGGACGGAGAAAAGGCAAACGTGTAAACGGGCGGCAAAGGGGGGAGAGGGTTTGCCGTGAAACGTGAGTTTGGCGATGTGTGTAAATACGTGCATGTTGAACTCCTTTCGCACCGTATGTAGCCAACCGTGCCAATCGAAGGTGCTGGAGGGAAGGACAACAAACTAAACTTAATAGAGCAGTTCCAAAGAAATTAGGTTTTCAGGACACACGTTCGTTGTCCGAAAACGACGCGAAGCTACGTTGTTTCTGAGCGTAAAGGGGCCCTTGCAATGACAGACGTGGCTTGAGTGCGCTAACACTGTAACCACAGTGTTCCCCTCAAGTACCCGATTAGTGTGGCTTAAGATGCGTCCAGCGATGGATATATGTCATCCTCATGAACATCAAGATGGTTGCAGTGGTAGGTACATATGGGAGTGGTAGGCCGCGTGTGGCCACGGAATAAGAAATAAAGTCCTTGGGCATATCCACACCCCCCCCCCTCACTCCTTCCACAACAAAGTCTGCTTTGTGTAAGACGGCTGGGTGGGTGAGAGAGTGGCAGAGCATGTCACTCACTGTGGATAGGTAATACCTCAAATTCAATCCATCATCCTTCTTAGTCATATATAATTCACATTCATACCACTTTGCAATGGCTGTTGACCTAGGGACAGGCTGATCCCAGGAATGTGGAATTTCCACAGCTGGCGAAGGGCCACCAGTACAAGATGAGCACAACACATTGCTCGTTTGAGCACGAGGTCAGATTCTGACATTTAAATTCTGTGGTGCATTTACTAAGTCCATCCCTCAGCTCCCAGCTTCAGATGGCCACTCCAAATTGCTGCCACCAAATGAGTTGATGAGCATATCTGAAAATGCTGCACATCAGAGATTGGACATTAAGTGTGGGATGGGGGGGGGGCAATCAGGAATGAACATGACCGAGAGTAAGCCTGCTATGGAGATGGAGTCATAAAATACGCCCATGTTCGAGATCTAGGTGACTCGTCGCATTGCAAGACCGCGAGAGATAGGGGTGGCTTGGGGAGCCCTTCATCCAGCTGTGGATAGATGATGGCCATTAATGATGAAGCAGGAAAGGGCGATGTGGAGACCTGCATATGGGGTAATTACTCAGGGGTAAGGTCAGGATTTATACCGCAGTGCTATAAAAATGGGTCAGGTTCAGAGTGGAGAAAGATGTTAGTCGCGTGCAAAGGAAACAAAATGGCGCTCATGGTGACTTTTATTTATTACCGGGTCAGAGCCCACTGAGATCAGAAGTCTCATATTCAAGGGGAGAACTGGAGAAAAACAGAGGAAGGTCTTAACTCATGAACTTGGCCAGGCAGAGGAAGCGAACAACGCACGTGACCACAGGGAGGGGTTGCAGATAGTGCAAGCAGAAATACTCAAGCTGCCGCCAAAATCTCTCTCGGTGCCGTTATGCAACACGTGAGCTAGTTTTGTTATACCCGCAGTCGGCACTGCAGTATGCACGTGTATAGCATAAAATTGTAATAATAATAATACAATTTATAACGCGCGCAACATTGCGGACCGAAGAGCCAATTCTGAGGCACGGAGGCGAGCTCAGTGTCAGGTCGCGTCGCGCGGTTCCAGGGAGACTCGCGGTGAAATGTCGAGCTGAAGAGGTGGTATTTGAACGAAGACAATTAATGTTCGTTATGGATTTGAATAGGGATGGTGTTCCAAATGACGGGGGCTGCGACGGAGGTTCTAAATATATACTATATTAGACGTGTATAGCACACGTATAGCATGTGTAGTTCGGTAGATATACAAACATAGGCACAACTTCAACCGAGAGGATGGTTTCAATTTAAGCAATTATTGGAAGTATGTCATCAACCAAGTCAAACTTTAGCTGCCGTATAATTTTACAGCCATATCCATATTTCCAGTCTTTTACTCCCAGCCTGATACACCACCATCACTAAGAAATGTTGATGTATAACAGTGTTTCAATAGCGCAAAAAATTGTCCCCCCCATCCTACTCTTCCCCCTCCTCCCCCGTTTCCCTCACGTCCACATTTGTCGCACAAGCACCGTACCCACACTCACCCTCCCCTCCCCGAGATGGTTTTCTATCGACTTAACTCATGCTAATCCCCTGCCCAACCGCCCACGATACCACACGGCCTGCCGCATGCCCCTCCCCCGACCCCTTGGCTCCTCCCCCCCCCTAGTACCCTATATAAACACGTGTCTCTAAAGAGCTCTCTTCATACACTACAGTAATTTTGCTGGAGCAGTCACACCTGATGACGGATGCTTGTGTTGCTCCCGAAACGTCGTGATTTAATTTAGTTGTTTCATTTTTACTTTATTTTGTTTTCACCTACGTGACTTTACCGAAAAAAAAAACAAAGAGTATGGATCCTTGCAGTCACGAAAACTTCAAATCTAGAATTAGTTCGGTAGACTTGGAGAGCTGTTTAGTTTTGGTTGAGGCCATATGAACCTGCGGTGACATCCGCACGGGTAGCTTGCCTCTTCAATTGGTTCCCCCAAATCCATCCCAACCACAAGCTTCTGCTGTAAACACTCGCTGGAGATGTTTATGGTCAAACGTTCAGTACTTTACAATTCGCAGGAAACACAAATGACACACGCACTGAAAGCATGCTCGGTGTGTGTGTTACTCAGAAGACGTGTGGCAGCATTGACCACTCAGTCACACACTTAAACTGAATTTACTTTGCTTTGTACATTGAATTTGAAAAGCAATTGTTCTTCTTTATAAAGCCAACTGACGGCTCACTGAAACAGTGTTCCTGTCGCAAAATATAATCTCATTTTTTTATCAACATTGAGGCGCCAGAAGAATAATGTACACACACTGACAAATCGTGGTGGATTATCCAACAATAACACCGCATTTCAATGAACCACAGTATTCGAGCATATACTCCAATTGTCAGCCACCCACCCTCACCACTCACCCCATTTCTACTCTTTTAAACAACTCAAGTGGGCTGCCAACTCGTGCCAGAGCCTGAGTTCTCATCTCGCCACCCGGGGCCTGCTCGGATTTCTACGTCAGAATTTGGATCGAGTGTAAATGCGAGTTTCTGGCAAAAGCCTGCCCAACTTCGTGCGGTAACTCAAGTAGTTCAGAATCATAATTTTTGTATTTAAAGCTTTCGTGACTGCAGGGATTCATATTCTTGGTTCTTCCGGTAAAGTCACGTAGAAGGGAAATAAAAAAGAATATAATGTAAATATATATATATAAACCGCCACTTTTTTCAAATTTTCTTGCTGTGGATTTCACACCTGATGATGATTGCTTGTGTTGCAGTCGAAACGTCGTGAGAATTTTTTTGGTTTAATATTTATATTATTTTATTATTTCCCTTCTACGTGACTTTACCGAAAGAACCAAGAATATCATTATTTTTGTTTAAATGTATGTATACTGGAGGAATTCGATTAGCTATAAAACTATCTTTCACAGATGTCGAGTAGGGGCGGATCAGAATGTTTACGACAACAACCAATACAAAAACACGATAGGAGTGCAAAGTATATGGAAGGTAAGCAAATAACCAAAAATATATACAAAGTAAACTAAACAATTTTATTTTTCCAGGTAAAGCCCACTGAGCTATTAGCTTCCAATTCAGAAGCGACCTGGTCACAAATGCTAGCTCAAACGAAGTGGCTTATCATGCGGGAATGTGAAGCAGCCAAATTAATCTAAATAATGAAAACGCTTGGTGGATGGTGAATCGACACATGCCTAATATCGGTTACAGCAGTAAGTATTTTTTACACATATATTAATATATATCCCATGACGCTCGCCTATATCTCACAACGCACGTGCGTAGCGCTACGTCTGCGCGGGGGGAGGCATGGATCCGTGGAATTCGTTTCGCAGGCGTCACAGGAAGCTGCCTGCCGCCATCCAGCAACTCCTCTCTCGGGCGCTGCGTTGCATCACCACGCAACTGGAGCAAAGCACCACGTGGGGTCCAGCATCCTGCGGCGAGCCCCGAACGTCTTTCGCTGGGCCAGATGTCAAATCCGGAGATGCCGGGAGGAGCTCTTTCGCAAGCGAGCCAAGTTTTTCTTGGTTCGTACGGCCTGGCGATGTAGATGATGGCGAGCATCTACGACTACGATGTCGCATTCGTGTGGTCGTGCCAGAGACAGCCGCGTCAGAGTGTATTGCTGTGATGATGTCTCCTTCGTAGTTGTGGATCGAGCATTGCGTCGTTATACGTTGCACGGTCTGTTCTGAATGACCACAGTCGCACGCTACTGGAGAGTATTTTTAAATTTCCATTTGTGCATCGTCAGGTATCCGCATCGGCTGCCATGGTTTGTGTAGTGGATACGGTTTTAGAGTAGATCTTGAGCTTCGTGGAAGATAAACCCCAGGGATTTTCTGCGTTGGATCTTTCACAAGGTTCTTTGAACTTCATTCAACTCGCATCATTGAAGGTTAAGCGCATGGGTCCAAAATGGCTTTGAGAGCCAAGTGCAATCAATTTACACAGCATTTAAAAAAAAATTATTGTTATTTTACACGATGCGGAAATATGGTTAGAAAGCACAGACCGTGCCACGACACACTGGATGCCATGTTTGTTCTGAAGAGTAAAATTACCCCCCCCCCCCCACCTTGTCACCGTTAGCAAGTCCTGGATATGTCCTCGGTCCCACGATGGAGAGCGGCTATGCGGCTGTGGTGCGATGGTTTACACGCCAGACTTGGCAATTCACAGTTATCCGGTTCCATTTTTCGGCGCGTCAGTTGAACCAATGGGAACGTTTCTTAAATCCCATCGCCTCTGTTCACCGAGCAATATATATATGGATAGCAACATTAGCTGATCGACAGGCCGCGTATGGTAGGCTAATGTATGGGTATTCCCACATCTTCCAAGATATCTTGTCGGCATATAAGAGTGGCCCAAAACAACCTCTAGAGGGGCCCTCTAGAGCTCTCTCTCTGTAGAATAA